TTTGACCGTGATTTAATTGTAATACACGTTTCAAAAAGAAGTAACAACATACTGATACCGGATAGTAAAAACCATGAATTAATGCTTTGACAAGTCTGCAGACAGACGGCAGGCGAAAAACCTTTTAAAATGCGTGTTTTCTGAATGGAGATCGGCTAAGCTAACGTTGTATATGCTCCGACCGTCCACACTCAAAACAACGGCCTATACAGACATAAATAAACCAGCGACTGTATTCGCCATGACACAGACAGTCTGTGGTTTGTATTTGTTTAACTTTTGTCTAGTTTCTGAACAGATATGAGGAGCTGTGAGCTCTGAGTGCTAAGAGCTAACGGCTGATGTTGGTTTTGTGGTTCGCATTGAAGATGACGTCACGGCTCCGCCTACACTGCGTTACTATAGTTACTGCCCCAGTCCCTAAATTGTAATGGAAAAAAAGCATAAAGTGAGCCTGGCCTAACAAGGCCTAGCCATACCGTACTAGGCCGAGCGAGGCCCTGCAGTGGAACAGCGCCATAACTGATACCAAGTCATTACATTTTAGGATTTCTTATTGGTGTCTAATAGGTTTATCCTTTATGTTAAATCTGTTCACTACCATTGCATTTGAAATACATCCCCCCTTCAACCGTTAGTTTTTCAGCCAGTGAAGCGTGCACGTTTGGCTCTCGTCCCGAGTGGGCCCTTTAGTTTCAAAGAGGGAGAGGGCAACACGGTATTTTTAGATGCACTTTAAGCTATTTAATAACAGGAAGCAGGACTAATTGCTAAGCTTTGACTACGAGTAGTTTTTAATTAATTTTCTCTGAAAGTTGTAGAGCAACTACTCCCTGCTTCACTGGGCCGTGGGATAGACCTCAAGTCTGTTGACGTCTACTTTATAGACCAGCACCACTGGTCAATTCACTCATTTGATGTTTTGATAATGATAGTGGAGCACTGTCTACATATTGGTCACAAATAAATCATACTAACATATCCATTCAGTTTTCCCTTACTGTATGGAAGGATTTGCACTCTGTTCACTCATTTAGTTTTTCCATTACATTTTGGACTGCGTATTTGTTTAGTCTCTAGTGTTTAGTATCAGTGATATAAGGGTTGTTTACTGAGAAGGGGTTACATTTCCTGATATATCTTGATCTATCCAAGTCCTCTGGATCAGCAAATCTTGATACTGTAAGGGTGTTGCACATAGTGAAGAGAGGATAGCCTAAGAACAGATTACCTTTGAAGAAGGACCTTCAATAAATCAAACCTGCTTTGAATACTCCCCCCTCCTAAACTCATACTAGCTTAATGAGCTACATGTCTGTTCCGTAGCTTTTCATTGAACTGTAAAGATGGAGTTTTTCTTGTTCATCGAGTGTTTTAGCAGTCCTGTAGCTGACTTGTTTGTAGGAATAGTTCACTGTAGATGTTACTCGCTGATAGCACCACCACATTATATGGATTATCAGGGCCATGTCAAGCATCCATTTAATACTAATGTAAACTTTGTGATTTACAGCAATGATGGGAAGGCCTGACACCATGTTATGTTATCTGTATTTAGCATGGGGTTATTTTGATGTAGCAATTAGCAGCTTTGCAACTGTCATGTTTAAGCTACATGGAAGCTGTGGTAGTGGATGTTTGGGAGCAGGTCATTTTTCACAACTGGCTAACAATTATGCAGATTTAAGTGTTGTGTTGGCTTACAACATTCTGTAAAATCGTTTTACACATCTGTCAACCGCGAAAAGAGTTAATGTATTTCTCAAAATCCTCCTTGGTGAGATGTTCTGAAGAAAAAACATCACACATTTTTTGTATTATGAATACGATGCATGACTGTAGAAAAAAACAAGCTCACAAGCAGAAGCAACATTTCTAACTGTTTTTTTGTAAGATTTGAAATAGCTTTACTGGATTACTAGTAAAGGGGAACTAATGAGCCTTTCACACTCCTTGAGGTTGTTGAATCAACAATGTTTATGTACCACCATCAAGCATGTCTCAGAGAAAACTATGTAGCTTTAGCTGCCAATTCACTGGAGGTGCATGCCCTCTCCGGTGAAGAGCCACAGCTGACTATTTAAAGCTGATATGTTAATCCACATCTCAAATTGGACCTGCTTTTACACACCTAGGTAGCATTTGCTAACCTCCCTGGCTACAGGAGCTGCAGCTGAAAAGGAACATTTCTAAGTTAAGTGCTAAGTTTGAAGCCAAAATTATTGAAAGGACAGAAGTGATTTCCAGCTACTCTTTAGAGGCCTCTGTTCTTACTTAATCATCTACTATTTAGGGAGGATTGTCGTTGTGTTGCTTTCAAATTTCCCCTGAGGAGTGTTTTTGTGCGTGTATAAAGCATGTCGCTCCACAGCACGTTTGTTTCTTCAGATAAGCAGGGGAAGGTTGTTGTGGCTGTTTAGAGAAAGTCAGAGGGTGAAGCGAGGCTTGCTTTTGGCATGGAGCCTTTATGAAGGGGGCAAAGAAGGGCTATGATCTAAATAAGTAAACAGGAGGCAACCCAGTGACAACGCTCTCAAGGACAGGTTATGTCATTTCTCAAAGACATTTGTTAGAGATCTATGCAGACATCTCTACTCTTCAGCATGAAGGCGCCACTTGGGTATGTGTGTGTCTACAGGAAAACAATAATGATTTAGTTGTAAGTGGTCTTGCAAGATCAACACCAGTCTGTCTTTTTGAACTAAAGCTATGGAAAAGTCTGCATTTGAAATGTTATTAAGTAACTGTATTAGTGGACTAGTAGCAGTAGTTTGCTAGTAAAACAATTGTTTTCAGTGGTTCTATCTCCAGAGGTGCTTGTAGCTTATGTGAGTAGCATGTAGCTCTGCGTGTTGAGAAAAAGGGAGGTTGTCTGTTGACTTTGCTTGAAGGGAAGCCAAAGGAGAAGTAGGGCTGGAGTTTGGCAAGCAGCCCTAAAACTTGGACAAAGAAGTAAAAATGACGTCATTACATTATTTATCTACAGCTTATTCAATCGTTGACAATATATACACAGTCATGCCACAAAAGCAACATCTAAAATGCCCTGTTCTGTTTGGAAATGTAAAAGAAAATGGACCACGCTTTTGGGAGGTGGCCAACTTTACCTGGTAATGGTTGGGCTTCCCTTTTAATTGTATTGGCATTGAATCTCTTGGCGTCATCCACACCACACTGAAGGCATCCATCTTTTGTCTTAGCTGCTGTCTGTCTCGAACTAAGAGGAAGCCATAGAAACATGTTAGGGCCATTTACCACCAGCTTTTTGTTCTCTTCTGCATAGTAGTGGCTGCGTATGTTCTGTACAGTGAGAGGTTTTTGTATACATGGATAAAATATGTAAGTGCTTGGTCGGTAGTTATTTAGACATTAAAACATATGTTGAATTACAGAAGTTACATTACCAATCAAGGTAATATAATGAGCCATATCATTACTAAAAGAACTTCCCTTGTTTAAGCGTAATTTGCTGTGATTTTCACAGCAAATGACGTTTATCCCTCTTACGGGGATACTCTGCATTGAGATACCGATAATGACAGCCGATACTGGATGGAGTAATGTTATAAAGAGGCTTCTGAGGGTAATGCTGAGAGTGTTCCTCACTCTGAGAAACCTAAGTGATATACAAAAGAGCAAGTATCAGTGTCATACACTCATGGGGTAATCATTAAGCAGGAGAGGATTGTTAATGGCCTCAGCAAAACTCTGAAAACTTTCCACTGTCCAGTAAGTGTAGAGGAATGGAGCTCTTGGTGTTTAGTGAAGGGGAGGGGGCACAAGAGAGGGTTCTCAAAGGAGCCAAGTTATTCCTGTCCTCTCCTCCTCCTCCGCTCCGGTAGGCGGATACATGTCTAGTCATGTCCCTTTGGTATATCGAGTAAAAGCTCTTGACCAACAGACCCTTTGTGTGCCTTGGCTTTTATGAATCACTTTTTCAGGAAGCTATATATGCTGTTACACAATGTTGTCAAATACATGCTACACGATAGCCTTTGTAAACATTGTTTTATTTACCAGTTTTTTTACAAAAACGCTGTCTATGGTTTTGATGCTTTATGTGTGAAATATAAGGTGGCTGTTAAGTATAAAGCTCAATAAGACTTTTACATATCCTCTAAAGTAACAGTATGGCAGGTATTGCGACAGACATCCACTGTTGACGTTCAGGGTACATTCGGAGGTTTTGGCATCTGGCCAAATACAGCAATTCTTACATCAGCTGTGCAGGAAGGACCACTGACTCATTAGTTAGGGATGTCGGGAATAAAGGGCTAAAGGGCATATTTATCCATAACATACCGTGGTATTTTAGCGAATAACTCTCGTGTTTTTAGTGTCTGCGGGTTTCCGGGTTAAATCAGGACGGAGTCAGCAGATGTCACAGCGGGAGGATACCTACCTCAAATGTACTTCGCACATTTCTAGTATACATCCTTGCATGTCTTGCTTACACACAATCCACATAATATTCAGTTTTAATGCACTATACCTGACTTTACAAAATACTTGGTATGAATAGTAGGTTAGTGTGAAAATATAAACACACCATGTGTCTCTTTCCCTTTGTATTAATCTTTATCGACCCGGCTTAGCAAAGGCCTTTATGCCGATGTCTTCAGTTTCTAATGACAATTCTTTTTTTAGACATTTTTAGACACATTTAATCCACATAAAAACATGGAAACACATCTTCTAGTCTAGGGTTAAGTATGAAAAACAAAAGAAATGTGTGGAATAATGTCAACAGAGAGTGTTACTATAGTGAAGTGAAAGCTCTGCACATGCTGCTAAATGCATTTACAGTAAAACCAAACCTAAAAAAACCCAAATGTTTATGTAATACTGAAAGTAAAACTAATTTGAAAGTGGAACTAACTTGCCCTGAGTTACATTTTGACATTATTATTGGGCCATGTTTTTTTCCACTCACTTACTGAGTGTGTTAAAGTTCAACCAAATATTGATAAACTTTTTGACATTTATTTCTCTCCATCCAGAATATCCATGAGCTCCGATTTCCCGCACTACAGTTTCAGGATGCCAAATATAGGGTTTCAGAATCTTCCCCTCAATATCTACATTGTGGTGTTTGGGACGGCCATCTTTGTCTTCATCCTCAGCCTCCTCTTCTGCTGCTACCTAATAAGGTAAGATCCATGCTATCTTTGCATTAACGCTACGTTTTTTTTTGTAATTGCTTAAAACGAATGGAAACTATAAATCTAGTAATCTACATGATTAAAAACATTGCTGTAAGGTCAGCGCTAAAGTTGTCTGCATGCTGAATATGATTTATTCACAAACTGTATGGCATTTTTCTTTGGCTTCCAGCTGAGGTTGAAGGATTTTTGTTTTATTTTTTAGAAATGTGTGTTTTTACATTTGTCTTACTAATCATCTTTTTTACACAAGGGCACAATGTTTCAACAGCACAGTTGGAAGAAGTATCTATGATACTACAATTGATAACTTTACAGGATCATGGCACAAGCCAAGTTTAAACCTCTTGTTTGTCATCAATAACGTTCATCTAGTTAAAGCTCCTTTTTCAGGCTTTTAGTCATGAGTGTAATCCAGTTATTCAGGAATAGTGGAGGTACTTTACTGGTCATTCCCGAGCCCCTCTTTTCAACCCCACTGGTCTTTTCAAAGAGTCCTGGCTGCCGTTGCTGCAGTGGTTTTCTCCTGGCAGCAACGAACTGAAAATAAACAATGTCCAGCCTTTTTGATCTAAGACAGTGAGAAGCAGCAGGTCTCAACCAAATTCACCCCTCGCCACCCTGCCATGTCCTATGTTGCAGGGCAAATGGTAAGTAGGTTAACTACTACTGTTGCTACGATTCCTCATCTAACTGTGAACAAAAACCCCTATAACTTTAATTTAGAACCATGATTCAAAACTAAAGTCAAGATTGCCTGGTTTAGTGATTGAAGGCAAAAACAGCCATTTAGATGCATTTTATGGAGCCAAATCTGAAAGGACTGGCCCCAAATGACTGAAATGATATGCACCATCATGCATGACGACTGGACAATTCATTTTAAGCCACTACTTTTACAAATTGGCAATAGTTTAATTAAACGTCAATGCCTGCCATGAAATCGTAGGGTTTCTATGCAGTTTATGTGGCTCTTGTTTACATTGAGAGGTGAATGATAAGGAATTAACGTTAGCATTGACATGTGACCAACACTCACATATAGTTTGACACAAGGCAGACTCTCACAGAGGAACTCAAGCTTCTCTATCAGCGAGTATTCAGTTCACACACACATATGTGAAATATGCAATGGTGTATACATCTTTAACAAATACAAAATATATATTTTAAGTATTTCGTAAGGGCATTTTTATCTCAAAGTCTTAAAGACTTGAGGCATTGAATGCTGAAATCATGATCATGCCCTAAACATTTTATTAAGTAACTTTGTATTTAGTGTTTATGTTTGGTGACATACCACAAGGTAGACCATTTGGACATGTTTCATTTAAATTGATGGCTATCATACATATATTAGATTTTGAGTTCCATATTAAATGCAGGTGAATTATGATAATGCAGCTTTAAGAGGGGGGTCAATTTGACCACCTGTTTTTAGTTTGTCAGCTGGTTATTCTCCTCTCACACTTCGACATTGCACTTAATGGCCCCATCAGTCACCCACGACCCCCTAACCCATGACCAGTTGTCCTCGACCCTTAGGAGTCTCTGCACCTTTTCCTGCTGACTTCTTTAAAATGTCAGTTTCTCTCCTAGACTGTGCTGCTTGTTTTACAGATCCCTCTCACTCTGCTGCGAGAGGTTAAGGTTACTTGTAATGGAGGTAAATCTTACAAACCTATGAATTTCTCCTATCTCTGTTGTTTTCTCCCCTTTTTTCTACATATTTTATTATTATCCTCAGTACATAGATTCTCTTCTTACACAGTACTCTTTCTGTTCTCTATTTGGATTGAGTTGTTTTGTGTTTGCTCATTTGCAAGAGCGATGATAACAAAGAGTTACACCAACAGTTGGATATAAACCTTTAACATTGGTTTTATTGGTTATATTTAACTTAATGTTTGGTGTTCGGTTTGACACGAAGGCCTAAGGTTTTCTATGAATGACATCTGCTAATATGTAACTTGAACAAATAGCTTGAAGTTTTCAGTAATGTGATCTATTTGCACTCCTTACTGAAAATAGTTATTCCAATGTAATCTTTATTTAGTCAGTATTTTTTCACCTGACTAATGTCAGAAGGCAAGTATTACATCTATGTTTGTAATTTCTCTCTCTTTTTCCAGGATTTGACATGTATGAAACTCTAACTGACCTGGTCTGTTGTAAAACCCCTTCCTGATCAAACAGATGTTTTGTCTTTCCGTCTCCCCAGGTTACGGCACCAGGCGCACAAAGAGCTTTATGCATACAAACAAGTAAGCATTCCAATGACACACACACACATGCACACACACACACACACACACACACACACACACACACACACACACACACACACACACACACACACACACACACACACACACACACACACACACACACACACACACACACACACACCTTTGTGCACATGCATTTACTTTAAGACTGTAATGTGAATTATATTATAACACACAGTATCTCTGATTCTGTTTTTTAACCTGTTGTTTTTTAATTACACTCTGATTATTAGATGTTTATGTTTAGTCTTTTATTGTATTCCCAGAGAACCTAATCTGCTCTTATCTCTCACTGTGCCTCTCAGGTCATTCAGAAAGAAAAAGTCAAAGAGCTAAATTTGCATGAGGTAAGCACTCATCTTCTTTCTTACGTTATTATGAACTGATCTCTTACTATCTAGTGTACAGTACATTCTGTAATGTAACCTTCAAGTTCACAATGTGCAGTGTTATCAGTTATTTCGATCTGTCCAGTCACATCCCTCTTGATTTGAACAATACTTTTGTCAAAAGGTCTTCCTCTCTGTACCTTGCTGCTCTTGGTTATGCATTAGTGATGGCTGTGCCGTAATGCACTGTGCTCTCCATTGATTTGAAATAAAAGGCTAAGCCCTGGGACTCTAGAAGGTGCATTCATGCCGACATTATGAACATAAACCTCTTGGCTCTGACAATCCAATTCTAAAAAAGTAAGGACTCATGTTCTGGCTATCTGTAGGTCTACTGGGTTTATATAGTTTCTGGGTTGTGTCTAGTTTGTCAACAGTGATGAAATAAACATTATTAGTAATTTAACATTCAGTAAATCAGTCTTTACTGTCTTGTGAAAGCTTGCATCCCGTGGTTAAGTCATGAGTCCTCTTCCTACCGTTATTACGTAATGCTTTATGTCAGCTCGACTTGGTTGGCAAATTACAGGCAGCAATCGGTGTGTTAAGCACCCGCACTGACTTTGCATCCAGGAACACCCTCCCTTTAACACTGAAGTGCAAATGAAATGTTAACAATAGCATCTTCGTGTGGGCTTTGACACGTGGCTAAACACACTTTCCTGTCATCAGTGTTGTAACTTCCCACTGTTTCATCCGGCCGCGGGCTTGCGCTGTTTATGTTTTTAGAAACGGAGAGAAAACATTGGAAGGTGTCATACGACTGTGACACAATGTCCAAGCTGTATTTGTTTAAAAACAACACACACACACACACTAGTCTAGGTGGATGACCTAGTTTTGAAGGCTCCCACGCCAAAGGATCACCCTGGATACACGATTATTGGCTAAGATGCATGAATTCAATCTCTGCAATTTTATGGAATATTTCAGTGAGAGTGCTAATATGGGATCAGCTTACTGGGCAACTCATGTTCAAGGTTGTTTGATGTGAAACTTGATCAGTTATCCTTTTTTTAGTATGACTTTAAACCCCTCTGTCTCATATATCAAATAATACCTCATACAATATGATATGTGAAGAAAAACACAACATCTAATATCTTTCATTTTTTATTATTTTTACAATCGTTGTTACACTCAAATGTATACGTGAGCTAATAGTTAGCCTATGCAAGAAAGAAACGGACCCGCCATAAAAACAGCAAGTAAAACCTGTTGTCTATGGGATGGCAGTCGACTGATTGTTCTATGAGTGAGATTGTGGTTTGCCTTGTATTCAAATCAGTGTGTAATCGACTCCCGGGACAAACTGCTCTAGATAGAGAAGGATGTAATAACTTTTGATAAACATAAAACTATACCTGGTATTAAACTATAACTTAATCCAATCTATATTAAAAGTCAGTATCTGTTATGGTTACATTATTTTATCATATTTTAGAAAGGTGTGTAAAGATAATGCAAATATCAGAGGTGATGCAAAAGATGCCTCCTCACTATTACAGGAAGAGGGTGTGTTGGTCCTAATACCCACTTGCTATGGTAATGTTTTTTTCCCACAAGCCCATCTGTTTTGCATTGAATTAGTAACTTGGTTCATTCAGTTAATAGGGAGAAAGAGATTTTGTCAAAAGTTTGGGAAGGTTGCCAGATCCCAACTGTGAGAGTGACACAGTAGACAAGGCACTGAAAGGAACAAAAACATTGATCTTTTCATGTGTAAAAAGAGAAAGACAGACAACATAACAGAGGATTGCTCTGTGTCTAAATATCATCAAGAGACAAAGCTAAGAGCCCCCATGCTGTTCTTTTCATCCCTCCTTATCCATCCACCTCTGTAATATAGAGCTGAGAAAATATATTCTGTGTGGCTAAAGGGGTAACAGTCACAGGGTTAGACTGCCAGATTAAAACTCTTTTTTTGGAAATGTTACCCACAGGTTCGGTGAAGTTTTGTGATAGAAATACTTTGTGGGCTTATTCTTTGCCCAGTTTCTTAAGATTTGAAATGTTCATTTCAATTTGCACTGTTTGTCCTATCAATGCTAGTCCAATGGTGGTCTGGAGAGGGTAGTCAGATGCCAGTTGCTTCTTTTTACCAGCCAATAATGAGTTTCTCTGGGAGGTTTGATTATTGCCAACCCTTACCCCTGCTCTAGATTGTGATGGGAAAACAATGACATTGCATATACAGTATAAGTTGCCAAAAGAAGGTTCCTTGGAGGGGTGGGCTTACCCGTAGGGACAGGGTGACAAGCTCGGACATCCAGCATCTGCAGGGGAACCTCTGTTCTTTTGCTCTAAAGAAACAGCCATGATGGTTCTGCCTTCTGATTGCGAAGCCTCCTGAATGCCCGTTATACTGTTTATCCCAGCTACATGTTAAAAGATGAGATGTCACTGTAACCTAGACCCCCGACCACATGTGAGTGGATGACTGTGGGCTAAACTGGCTTTGCTTCAAATTGTTCCAGCATATTCTTGTAAATGTATGTCAACATGGAAAGTATTCACCCAGGGTACACTGAAAAAGATGAACACTCCCTCAGATATTTTACTCTAGATTTAGCTCCAATGACCCTGTCACATACAGCCAAAACATTAAGCTAATGCTATCTGGCAGATCATGACTCGTGGCATCATGCCTGGTGAACAGTTGCGCGTGTGTGTGTTTTAAACAAACAAAAAATGAATAACAACTCCAACCTGTCCTTCAGAATTGCATCTGTCACAGGAAACCAGTGAGAGATAAAGGACTTCTGTTATCACTGACTTGTTTGATCTAATACGACAGAAGCTATTGCTAACGGAGCTGAGATCATTAGATTGTAGAACCGGGCTACATAGCCCATGAAAACATGTTTGTTTTTCTTTCAAAGATTAGGTTTTGATATGGTCTAATAGTCCCTCTGGGGTGCGGGTCCACTTGTATGGCTGTTTCTTTATATCTTTCAGGCTTCCTTAGCTCTGTAACTTGAAAAGCAAAAGCTAGGGGAAAGAAAGTTTCACATCGCAGTGTTTTTACAGATTTTCCTGTTAAACGGAGGAATCCTTTTTTTTAAGGGAAGCCTCTCTCAAGGAAGCCTCTGACCAGCAACTGAACCAATCCCCAGTGTGAGTTTAGTGCGAGTTATACAACAGAACACAGTGGGTCAGTTACTGCTCTGTTTTTTGTGTACATTTTTTGCAGATGTTGGCCACAGTTGTCTTTTTCATGAGCGCTTGACCTTTGCTTTCATACACCAACACATATTTCAGATTTGAAGGAACGAACACCAGTCTACCAACAAATCTAAAATGTTGCATTTTTCCCCCCTTATAAAACATCTCTAACGGCCCCCTCTTCCTTTCAGATTTGTGCGGTGTGCTTAGAGGAGTTCAAACAGAAAGACGAGCTGGGGATTTGTCCATGCAAACATGCCTTTCATAGAAAGTAAGTATGAGGTTTTGACATTTTAACATTCATGTAAACACACAAGTGCACAAACATAAGTCAAGGACATGTGGAAAGGTGTAGATTTAGACATGTTCATACCATTTTACCCACCCGTAGTCATTTTAACCGTGACACAGTAAGTCGTTGTAAATAGACATATTAAAGGTCCCCTATAATACTATTTTTCATCAATATATTATAGGTCTCAGATATATACAAAACATGTCTCTGAACTGTTTTGCTCAAAATACCAAACAGATCATGCATTGTAGCTTCCCATAAACCCCTCTGTTTCAGCCCTGTTTCAAAAGTGCCGATTCTGGGTCTGTTACTTTAGATGAAAAATAAGGAGCCACTCCCAACACAGCGGGGACAAATGTTTATGTGTAAAAGACATGAAAAAGTGGACACA